ATCAACTTTAAACGTTTTAGCTTTGAAAGTTGGGTACCTTGAAAGAAACAAGAGAACAAAATTGAACAAAACTAAATTGGACAAAACCGAAGGGTCGCAAGTTTCCTCCAAGAGAGTCGAAAACATACATATATCTTGACTGATAACACCACATAGATCAAGGTTTGCGTATAAATCATTAAAATATTTGATTTGAAATTCAGTGACTATGTAGAACAAATGGTCTCGCTCAGTTTTTTTAAGACGACCTCCTGAATTGGTTTTTCTTAAATAAAATATATGATTGATTAGACAAATAACTTAGTTGAGTTTGGACCTAAATTAGAAACGATTTATTGTCATTACAAATTTTTGCCATTTGTTGCGATCCGACCTTGGTCTCATAATGTTAAGGATTGGTCAGGATTGGCTTAGGTTTTAACACTGAGCTAGCGTTGAACTTGACAAAAACATTCTTTTAAGATATTGTGTACCCCATGGATGTTGATTTGGAAACCATCTCCGGAACTTCACGATCTCTCAACAACATCAGTGGACCCTTCGACCAGTTCGAGGTGGTGCTTCATTCTTCTCAAAATACGACAAGGGAGATCCTGAACCGAGCCGATCTGCCACGCGTGTTCTTGAATTTAACTTCTGGGACAGCGTACAACCTCACTATTACTGTTTCCCGTCCTCCCACCTCAAACTGCGGCTCTGGTTCTCAGAATTCGTTCTCCGTCTCACACATATTTTGCACTGGTCAGTAGTATTGGAAAAGTCATCCAGTTTCATCCTGGATTTCTCATCTTTTTTTTGGTCGACCAACTATTCTTTTCTTTCTATGCACCTTTGTAGCGCCGATTAAAATAATCTTGACACACTACACATGTACAATGAAGGGGCGGATCTAGGATTTTCTCGAGGGGGAGGCGGATTTTCAAAATATTTTCAAAATTTGTCGACCTTTTTTTTAGGTCGACCGAATTGATTTTTTGAGCTCTCCCTAAGCACCGTTTAGTCCCTGCTTTGGCCAAATTTTCTGCGCAGGAAAAATAGTCCAAAAAAGGCGTTTTTAGGCACTTTTTGGAAATTTTTGACCAAAAAAATGCGTTTTTTTTTTCGGCGCGCGCTCCCCCCCCCCATCCCCTCAAAATTAGTATATATTGGCGCCCTAGGCGCCTTTAGAAAAATTTTAGGGCCGGTCGGCCAAAAATGGATTTCATAAAAAGTACCAAAGGGGCACAAAGTACCCCCCTAAATCCGCCCCTGGTACAATGTACTAGAAAAATTACTGGAAAATGCAAAAATCGAAATCCAGAAGTCTTCCAGAAGAAATTTGACAAAGTTTTTCAATCGAGTCAATCAAAAACATCTTGCGCACAACACCGCTGGCTAAGTGAAAAAACTCTCTAGTTAGCAGGAAGCTAAAATCAATCAGTTCTGTTTGATTTCAATACTTCAGCATCTCTTCTACCATTAACTGCTACTTACATTTGTAAACTGAACTATTTTATCAAATTTTAAAATGTTAACTTATATGATTTGATTTTGCGATTCACAGAATGATTTTTGTTTCTTTAATTTTAGTACTTTGTATATCGCAGAAAATTATGGACAAAAAATGAAATCAAAATTATAAAACAATGGAAATTAATGCTTCATCAGACTTTTCATCAAAAAATTTTCATCTGATTTTTTCTACCTCAAACGTTTTCAATGGTACTCAACCTACAAGTTAGGCCCAGATTCTAAATTGATATAAGTTTTAAAATGAATACATATATCATTTTGGCACTGTATGACAGCAGTGTGTTTGTAATTGATTAATGAACAGCAGATAAAAATACAAAAGTTGCAGATTGAGAACGGTAGAAGGCTCCTTTTCTTCTTCCACTCCAACTAAAAAGTTTAAGTTTTTTCTTAATGTCTTATTATAACACAAATTACCATGTTGCTTGATTTTTGATGCGAGTAAAGTAAATAAAACGTTTTTCTTTTATTGTAATGAGCTCACGTTTTTTAGTGCCCAAACCACCGAGCACTGTTACTGCGGTGGTAACTGAATCGACCATTACGATACTCGGCTCATCGATTGATGTTCAACATTTCGACTCATTTCAATTTACAATCTCGAATAAAAACAATCCCAACGAAGACTTAAACGAGAGCAATTTCTCATCCGAACGAAGCGGCAATGTCACAGTTGAAAATTTGACCCCAGGGTCAGTATATTGGGTCAATGTGAGTCTACTAGTGGGATCTCGAACTACTTGTAGTGACCAGCATGGAACATCACGCTTTCGAAGAAGTTCAAATGATCTCCAAATGGGCGACGTTCAATCTTTCGTCATGTGCACTGGTTAGATATGGTCAAGCTGTTCTTGATTGACAGATTTATAAAGAAAAGTTACCACATATAAAAAGCCCGACATTCGAAATCTTCAGCTCTCTACTGAGAACCGCTGCTTTTTCTTTCACTTGCCTACAAGAATCACATGCACTTTTTTAGTTCTTATTTTGGACTGTTGCTTCACCCAAACCTTCTGATGCAATCGATTCATTGAAAATTTACCAATTAACTGGCTACAGTTGATTATTTGACGCCCTATAATATTGAGAGTAATGAACGTAGTGAAGACTCTTATATATGTCATCCTTTTTTTGTTTGTTTTTTTTTTCAGGAAAAGTCTTAAGAGTCTCTGATAACTATAGATATGCATTCATGCAGATTGATGCATTTATGAATGCACTTAGGCAGGCATTCGAAGGGGGCTAATTTTTGGAAAAGCAGTAGCAAAAATTGAATTCAAAAATCAACAAAATTTAAACAAATTTATACAAAAGTGAGTCTGCAATTTTTTGCGGCCAATCTGTCTATGAAATCATGAACTTTTATTTCTACTTTTTTGCGGAGGTATATCAAAGCTAAAATCGATAAACGATCTTCTTTCATATTAGATCGAAGGTAGTTCTTCAGCAGTTTCATACTGGAGAAAGAGCGTTCGACAGTGCAAACTGTTACGGGAAGGGTTGCTCCAATTTGGAGCAGTGCGTACACAACTGGCATTGTCGACTTATGACAGACTTTTAGGGCATAAAAAATTTTTCTGGTATTTCATTATAAGAGGGAAGGCACCACATATTCCTCCAGACTTGGAACTTGCTCCCAAAGTCGCCATCCGGCAGTAAGTTCTGATACAGATCGACCAAGTCATCAAAATCTTCTTCAATTGCATCTTTCTCCAAAATCCAGCGAGCAAGGAGCTTGCACTTTTGGGAGCAAGACGCAGCAGCCGCCAAGAACCTTTCCTGCAAGTCTAACAGTACGAAGTCGATGAAAGGCAGGTATACAGACTGACGGAAATAAACGTAGACTTATGTAGCTATAGGAGGCCGGCTTCTCCGACCCTCTAGCTGGAAATCACCATTTGGACCGTCCCGCCATTGCTGGAAGAGAAGACGCAAGTTCTTTATGTGTTCTTTAAGAAGTTTCCCGATGAGACGTCAATGGGCTCAGTCGAGGCTGAGATCAGGGGAACTCCATCATCTCGGTGGCCTCGGAAGGTCGAGGGAAACATCGATGCGTCGCACTGGGTGCTTGACTGAATTCAGGAAAGTCTGCGCTTTCTCCAAAGCCTTTTTGTGATGGGAACTCTTCTGATGAGGCTACAAGTAGTTTGAAAAGCGTGCAAACTTGTGGAAAGGCTTGTTGACAAGGTGTACTTCGGAAGAACCGCCAGCTTTCTTCATCTCCTCAATGTCAGCAAAGCAGAAACAGAAGCGACAAAAGAGGCGTTCTTGAATCATTGAGTAGACCAAAAAAGTGTACTTCTCGAGATAATGTGGTCCAAACGATCTCTTCTGTCCTCCTTTGCTTGGTGACAACCTCAAATGACCAGTTTTGCAATGGGGGTCTGTTGGGGCTGTCTAGAAGAGCAAGCTTGACATCACGGTCCATCTCCAGCGAGTTGAAGTTGTAGACTCCTACGTCTATGTAAGCTGGAGACTGCAGGGCTTGCTCAGAGAGCGGAGATATAGAACAATTTGATGAAAACATTTCATCTTTTATGGTGGCCAAAGATGCCAGTGGCTCTAAGAGCCTTGAGGGTCCAGGTATGGGCGTGTCAGGAGTTGATGGTCCGTGGTTGCCTAGCTGAGGAGTAGTAGCACTGGATGAGGGTGGTGATCTCTTGGGTCCACTGATGAAGAAGGCCTTGAGCTTCTTGAAGCCAGAAGCCTTGGAGTCCTTAGAAGTAGCCCGCTTTGACATCTGGAAGGTTGAAGTTTAAGGTTGAAGTCCAGTTCAGAGTGCAGCTTGAAGTCCAGTGAAGAAGTTTTTAGAATGAGCAAGGTAGTTTTGAACGGGGTGTATATACCATGAACGAGGCAGGTTGACAGGTACCTGTTAGCAGGTACCTGCCTCGAGTCTACAATGATTCTGATTTGAGGCCTTAAAATTGGGCTCAATTTCACACCTAAAAATGTTTACGACTCTAGTACTTTCAAACCTCTACTAAAAATGGACCGGCGCCGACTTTGAAAAAAAACATCGGTGTCAAAAAACCATCGGGATGCATCGGTGTCAAATTCCTGAAGCCCCTCCTCCCCCCTAAATCTGCTACTGAACTTAGGTAAGTATGCACTTTTTGAGTTAAATTGAAACTCATCTGCTGAAAGTGACGTAATTAGCACTCTCCAAATACAAACATGGAAACGGCGCAAAAAAATGTGAGGGATTTCTAGTTTCGAAAGTGGAATTTAACTTTTAGATTTCAGAGAAATAAAAACTTAACCTCTTGATCTAATTATCTTAAGTTGGGTTCATTATATCAAAAAAGCGCCAATCATAAATTTTTCTAGAAATTCAAAGAGCTTAAAGGGATTCTATTTTTTACTTTGAAATTCGAAAGTTTAGATTTTATCAAGAAAATCAAGTGTTTTTTTATGTACATTGCGTTCATTACTCTTTTCCAATCTTCGATTGGTTATGTTATATTTTAGAGCTAGCTAGTCCCGAAATGACTTTCGCCGCCCCTTCGTTGCACCAGATTGAAATAAGTGCAATCAGTGGGCGTTTTGATGTCATTACCTACGAAACAAATCCCCTTGGATCATCTGGCCAGGAAAACAGTCCCCCTCTAAACATGAATGGATTGTTGCCAGGGACAGTATATAATATAACAGTTAATGTCAATGCATCTTTCCCTACTGAATGTGAACCTTCTGGTTTCAAAACAGCAACTGCTTCGGAAATATACGCCACAGGTTAGAAATGTTCTTCATTTTTATAAAATACTGAATCGCGTCAAATTTCACGACGCATTTAGAGCAGTTTTTCTGTGCATGATTTATTATGTATATCACCACAAAATTGTTGCAAAATCAAATGTTTTTTGTTGCAAATCAATTTCAGAACCAGCAGCTCCTGATATTTCTGACGTCGAAATTCTTATAACCGATAAAACCGTAAGATTCCTTGCAAGTGGGATGGGAAGATCTGTGAAAGCTACTGATGGATACATTGACGGATACTTCTACAGCAACGAGCACGGAACATCATCGAGTGGTTTAGTAGGAATGGGGGAGAATATTGTTATTGAGGATCTGCAGCCTGCAACAGCGTACAATTTTTCATTTTACTCATTCATCGAAGCTATTGGGGGAGTGAACGGATCAACAGCTGCAGTAGTTTCAAACGTCTGCACAGGTAAAATTTTATGAAACGAGTGCTCAATTTTTTGAATTTTAATTAACAAAGTAAAATTTTCGGAAAATTGGCTCTCTTCAATTTTTTCCCGAAATTCTAGTGCCACTTGGTCCTGAAAATCAATGCAAAATTTTTTAGAGATTCATATCTTCTCGTGATACTTCTACAGCAGATATTTTTAAATCAGTCCAATAGTTACGTTTTTTTTTTGTATTTTTAGCACCTTCAACGCCAGAGTTTGCGCTTCAAACTAGCATGAGCTCCCTAGTAGTCAATTTGGACCCGAGTTCTAGGGCAGACCAGTTCAAAATCGAGTTACAACCTCCAGTGACGCCAGCTGTAACTGTTGACGGGAGCATATTGAATCACAGCTTCGACAACATTCAACCGGGCACTGAGTTCAACGTGACAGTGACTGCAATCATGGGTTCTATTACTACCTGCTCACAGAATCATTCAGTGTCCAAGTCTAAAATTTCATGCACAGGTAGGAAATCTGTAATTTTGTCTATGTTCAGGGGCGGATTCGGTGTGGGCAAGCAAACACTTCTTCCCGTCTTCAGGGATTCAACCACCCGCCGACCCAAAGGACTCCCCCTGCGATACTTTTTAAGAAATCCATTTTTGGCTGACAGACTGTAAAAAATTTTTAATGGCGCCTTCGAAGCCAATACACACTAATTTTGAGGGAAAATGCGCGCAAAAAAAATAGCGATTTTTAGTGCAAAAAATTTTGTCAATTATAATTTGTCTCTATAGTGTTCTGGACGGAAACTCAATTTTTTGGTCGATTTGAAAAAAAGGTCGGCTATTTTTTCAAAAAATTTTTTAATATTCATTCGTTTGATATTCCTTTTAATTAATATATAGCTATTTGATTGTATTCAAGAATAAATAATTTTAATTTAAAGCCATTTTCTATTATTTAACAGAGACACGGATCTAGGACTTTCACAAGGGGGGGGGGGGGGGGGGGGGGGGAGTCCTAGATCCGTGTCTATGTTAAATAATAGAAAATGGCTTTAAACTAAAATTATTTATTCTTGTATATAATCAAATAGCTATATTTTTAATTAAAATGAATATCAAACGTTGCCGCACCGGATCATTTATTATACGATCATACAGTGGAGACGTAAATTGAATTTCGTCTTCACTGTAAATGAAAACTTATACAAAAATAATAAGTTATCAGTTTATGCCAGTTTTAAGTTCGTAAAGGTTCAACCTGGAATAATTGGGCAATTTACGTTTAACAATTACGAACTTTCTAATTTGCAGGGCTCTTGCTTCCAATTAATGTCAAACTTGGAGATATGACACGTGACACAGTTACAGTTGAAAACATCAGTGGAAACTTTGATGAGTTCACCGTGAAAATCGAGACTTCGGGAATAGTTTATAATGAAGTAGAGATAAACCGAAGTGACCTTCCTCTTCAGGAACGAGGTCTACCTAGTGGAACTGAAGTGAATGTTACAGTTAAAGTTAACTTGCACCCTGATCAACTCTGTCCTTCAATTGACCCGCAGGATGTCTTAACAACTGTCGCTCAGTGCACAGGTAAAAAATGATCGATTAACTGTACAATTGTTGTGTAATTGTTGATTTTCAATTTTAAATTATAATTTCATTTAATATCAGCATGTATGTTTAACCAAATTGTTTTTTTAAAGCTTATATGTTCCAGTAAAAAAGAATGATTTTCAACTTAAGTCTTAAGCCTTCTCTTAGACTACCTCTTGATGCCTTCTCATGCTTTTCAATCCAAAGGCTGGCGATTCGAGCCAATCTAAATTCCTTGTCCGATTCTTCATACGCATGCAAGAATGTTGTATCGTTCAAGCAAAACCAAAAGCTTAAAACCTTTGCAGAAAAGTTTTCAAACAAGCAATTGCAAAAAACTGTTGTTGCTCTTTTATTAGCTACTTTTCTTTCCCAAAAAGGGAAATTAAGTTTGATGGAACTCAACTTCAACCTTTTCAGTTCCTTCACCACCTGATTTGTCCAATGTTGGAATCGCTGCCGAGCAAAACTCGATAACCATCTTGGCAGCTACTTCTGGATCCAAAGTCCAGGCATCAGATGGTCACTTAGATGGATACTTCTTCGAGGAGGTTCCAGGACTGGTGGACGTTGGGAGAACTCGTCTTACCGATGATGTCACAATAAGTGGAATGCAGCCGGCAACATCTTATAATCTTTCCTTTTTTGGATTTATAGACGCTTGTGGTGGAGTAGACAGCACTCAGACAACAACGCTACAATATATTTGCACCGGTGATACATCAATTTTTTTTATTCCTTTGGCTGTGCGAGAAATTAAAAATTTAGGGCAATCTAATTATGAATAGGTAATTCTAATCTCTTAGCGCTCAGTTCTTTAACTGTATTCTTTTTTTTACAGGAATTTCGTAAGACTATAACGTATGATATAATGAAGAACAGTTTTTGAACATCATGAAACAGGTTTGTTTATCAATAAACAATTCGTTTTTATGTTGGAATGTCAATAACAACATAATAAAAAAAACTGCTCGTGCTGGGGCAAAACTTTTTTTGCTTGCATTTTAAAGTGCAATTTAAGTATTTGTGATTGAAATATTGATTGCGCCATATCAAGCAGTTTTTGTTTTAAAAAAATGATTAACCTGTATGAACGCTTTAAAAGTTTGAAAATTGCTTATCCTTTTTTCGTAAATCTTACCCCATAAAACAAGTTAAGTACAATGTTACATGTTTTTCTTCTTGTATGCAGTTTTTGGATTAACCATTTCACCAAAATTTATTTTGGAATGATTCCGGAGCCGTATCAATTCACTGCTTAGGCAACGCATTGACTGATAAAACAGGCCTCAGGTATCAGTTTTTAAATGGCCATATATGGCATTTTTCAAACTAATAAATTAGAAAAAGTAACCAAATAAAAATTATTTTCTTGTTTTTACGCTCAATAGAACGCTTATGTAGCCTTACTTCAGTTCTCAAAGTAAGCTTTCCGAAACTTCAAACTTTTTGTTTTCCAATTTCTCATTTTGACGTGACATTTTTTAAAAAAAAGTTATTCTTATAAAGTTTTTTCTGATATTTTTAAAGTTGTTGTCAATAAACTGAGCATATGCAACTTCCTATGTCACGAAACACGGAAACAGCGCTCAATGAATGCTATTTGACATAACCAGTTGATAATTTCTTTGATTCACCTGAAGAAAAATTCTTAGACATCTTCATCATCAAATAATTTTTCTGCGGTTGATTTTTTATCGTGTTATATCAGATTGAAAACAATTTTTGGTCGACTTCTTTTTGTTTTCAAAGAATTACAAACCTGATTTTGTAATAGCGTTTTTTTGCGCCCCAAGTTTTGAATAAATGCTCCCCTAGTTTCTGCGTAAGAGAAAAGAAAAAATATAACAAACATTATTATGCATTCTCGAGATCTTCGTGCAAAACCTTGCGTCAATCTCATGAAATTTATTAGAAAATTTTTTTCTCATTTCGTAACTTAATGGTGGATGCAACAGTTAAAAACAAAATTTTTTTACTGCAAAAAAAGTGATTGGGTCAAACATTTGTAAGACTAATTGTTTTCAACCTGAACAAAATAATTGCCTTGAAAATTAAATTGCGATGAACATAAAAAGTATTTTTTTTAGAAAAAAAAGGATAATCAATGCAAAAAAGTTCAAGTTTTCTAAGAAAAAAATCGATTATGAGTGAGCATTATTTGCACGTATACATAATTTGGGTATAGAAACTATCAAAATACTCAAGCAGCTATGCCGCCCAATTTTAGTCTGGTCCAAACATACTAAATTGGCAATCCAAAGACTTCAGGATTGACACCCATACGTATTCAACTGTCTTAAAACTGTTCTGATTTTTGAAAACATACCCCAGGCATATAGATTCCTCTTTTTTTTGGAAGTCAGAACAAAAAAAAAATCATTTTCAGAATTATGAAATCATATCATTTTTACTTAAATTTTACTTCAGACTTCAAAAGACCGTCGAATCATTAAGTTTTCATTCTTCTGTTTTTATTTGATTTCTTATGAAAAAAAAAGTAAAAAAAGAACATGCTCTTCTTAATGTTTCGCCCGATATACTGCTATTATTTAATGAGCGCATGTACAATTAGAATATTTTGAGTCTGAAGATGCCTTCACAACAATTCTATCGTGCGTCAGGTAAATCCGCCCCTGCGTCAGATCCTTTTATCACACCACGCAGAAAAAAAACACTAATTTGGAAAAATAAATTTGTAGTATTATAAATACCATGGTCGGAACATTCTGCACTACTTGCACAGTAACCAGCTATCCTTTTTACTATTTTGCCTTGTCTAAGCTAGATTATTCAATAGTCTGACGCATTCGATGTTATCTTAAATCAATTGCTAAACTGCTAATATAAGTAGAAAGCTCTATGGCCTTTTCAGCCCACATTTACCTTTTAACCGCAATTAAGATATTTCAATTATTGAACGTGATAATCATAATTTATATTAAAGCAATAAATTTTTGGTGGAATCTTTTATTTTCCCTTTAGCACCTGAATCACCTCGGATGTCGCTGACCGAGCCTGACAACCGCACTCAATTGACAATAAACCTGACATCAGACTCTGGTGACAATTACAAAATTATCATTGAACCGTCTGCACCTGTCAATCAAGTGGGTGATTTGATTGCATATCACGAGTTTCCTTATACTGTTGGAGGTCTGCAGCCAGGGGTATCGTACAACGTCACAGTAGAAGCGATCGTCGGCACCAAAACAACTTGTGTCAGAAACGAGACGGCTTCGACCACAGCTACAATTTGCACAGGTTTTGCCCGGCAATTTTTGAACGATTTCATTGAAAACCGGTATCAGAATTCTAAATCAGAGCGCAAAACAGAAAATCAACCTCTGTAATTAAAGCATTTTAACAATAAGAGAAAAACCAAAAGTATTGTCTCTTAGCCGTTTAGTTTAATATCCGTTGATTTCTTTCACTGGAAATTTTTCTAAACATTGTTCGATGAACGAAGCTTGTGTTTTGAGAATTGTTTATGATTGAAAAAAAACATCATTGAAAACAAATGTGAGCGTGCAATAGTGATGAGCAGTCATTTACTTCGATGATTTCAGTGCCTAAGAGTCCAGAAATTGAGTTGCTCTCTAACGGCACCGGATCACTCATTCTGCTGATGGATCCGTCATCAATGACAGCAGACCAGTATGACGTGGAAATAGATCCAAGCATAGTGTCGAAAATCTCTCTCGATGACTCAGGTTTTCCTCACACGATAACTGGGTTGCAGCCGGCTACTGTTTATGAGGTGACTGTCACTGCTGTAACTGGGTCTGAGAGCTATTGTCCTGATCAGCGAACGGAGTCAACTTCGGCCACTGGATGCACGGGTTTGTTTCCGTAAATTTCAAAAATTCCAATTAGCCTTAAATAAACGAATATGCAGCTGGGAATCAAAAAGAGTCTAAATTCGCGACATAAGATAAGACTGGCTCAATTCACAGAGTAATTTTGAGTTTATAAACAACCTGAAAGATTTTATTTTTTATTTTTTGATTTTATAGCGTGTCGTAGACACTTAAAATTGGACGTAAAAATCATGCCTCGAAAAAAGCATTTTTGTTTGTGATTTTTGGTTGCGAAATAAAAAGTTTACTACATAATGGTTTGCTGATAGCTCCTGCTGTTCCAAACTTAACCGCTGCTCAAACATCATCATCCAGAGATTCAATCACTATTCTGGGATCCCTGTCGTCTGTGCAGCCAAGTAATGGATCTCTGGACGGCTACTACTACGACAACAACACTGGCTACTCTATATCTGGAGTAGCTGCACTGAACGAAGACCTTGTGGTGTCTGGACTGGACCCTGGATCTCAGTATAACTTGTCGTTCTTCGGGGTTTTCAGTGGATGCGGTGGGGTCAGTAGTGCAAATGCTGCAGTTTTAGTGGACGTTTGTACAGGTAACATTTTGGAATTGAAAACGCTTCAAAGTTTACTGGGAAATACTGTTTAAAATTAATTCAAATTAACGATATGAAATATCACTTATTAAGTATTGTGATCATGATTTTTTCCGAGTAATATCTTCGCGAATTTCCACTGCCTCAGATTTTTTCACGATGCAAATAACTTAGTTTTCAATTATTTTTTTAGCTATAGGATAAGAAAATCTCCAGACTAAAAACAATTTTTTGTTCTTCGCCTGAAAAACTGAATTAGATTATATTTCAAATGCGCGCTATTTTATAACGAAAAACTACAAATTTAGTTTGCCCACTGCCGCATTAACGCTTTTTACAAATTAACCTAACAAACTGATGACGCAGGTGTTTATAAACTATGTTTCCGATAGCTCCGGTGGTTCCTGCATTTGAAATCACTGCAAACGAAACTGAACTGAAAATAGAGCTTAACGACTTGTCTGAAAGAGCAGGCGACGTTTTCCAAGTTCAAGTTTCCTCGTCTGAAGACCCTTACGGTGTTCTATATGAATACGAAATACCCAGAAGTCAGTTTTCATCTCTCTCAGTACCTGGCTTGACTTCCGGAGAATGTTATGTGGTTTCAATAAATGCTACTATCGGCACAGCCAGAAACTGCTATAAGCTGGAGTTCTCTAATGATTCGTCCCTTCACTGCACGAGTGAGTTAAACTCATCTACTAAATTTTTCCTTTTGATGAACTTGAAGTTTGGTCACAAAAAGTTTGTTAAAAAGTTATTGTTTACAAAACAATTTACCGAATCCCCGCCCTGAATGATTTATAAAACAAGTTGGGCTCTTTCAGTCGCTCACAACCCTCGGGACGACAAAAGATTATATTCCTAAATATTTCACTGTTTTTTTGATAAACGTCAAAAAAAACTTTGGCAAAAATTTCTGCGCCGCATGCAAAGGTATTAATTTGCGGCAAAGGTTTGTTCGACGAAAAATGAATGTCCTAAAAATACAAAAGAGGGATGAAACTTTGAGTGACAAGGGCGCTGAAATTCCTAGTAGTCGCGTCTACTCCCTTGCTTGCTTAACCCGACCATCCAGGCCATTAGGTATTTCTCAAGGATGACTTAATTTCAAACATTATTTAATGCATACAGAACTTTTAGTTACTGGTCAAACAATCGTTAGGGTGGTGGTGGTCGGGTCTCTGAGAGTAGGGGATAAGTTTTAAGATAACACTTTCATGTGCCTTTATACTTTTAGTTCCATCCACTCCCAATATCGATAATGTAAAGATACTCTCATCAGAGCGGTCATTCACAATCCAAGCATCTACTGCTGGCAACTCAGTGACACCATCCAATGGAAACCTAGAGGGCTACTTCCTCAAACTCACAAACACAACTAGCGAACTCGCTGAACTTAATCAAGATATCACGATTCGAAACTTACGGCCTGATTCTCTGTACGAGGTTGAGTTTTATGGGTTTATTGAAAATGGAGAAGTAAACTCAACCGAATCTTCAAAACTCAATATCTGCACAGGTAAGCAATTTCTAATTCTTGCTAATTTACTAAAAGATGTACGCTTTTAATCAAAATTTTAATCCGTCTTCAGTTGAGCTTTGGTAGTGAATTGAAAAAAAGTAAGAAAATTTGCATATTTCGGAACTTGCTCAAACTGCTTTTGCTTGGACTGTCCATAAAATTTGAAACCAGATAGACGGAACAGCGGTGTTCTAACAAACTTCATTTTCAGCCCCAAAACTGCCTCGATTCGGTCTGCTGGCGCCTGAGTATAACCAGTTTGTAATCAATCTACTGAATGAGTCACTAACAGCAGACAGCATAACTGTCCTGATCGACCCTCCGCATGTCGCGAACTCAACCAACTTGTCAGTGTCTGATTTCCCCTACTTGATCGACAACCTGGAACCAGTCACTTTCTACAACATCACTCTAATTGCAGAAACCGGATCCCTTAAAAACTGTGTGGCTCAAACGTATTCGTCGCAATCCAGAGCTCTATGTACTAGTAAGTTAAAAGTTTCAATTATTTTGTGCTCTAAAAAGATAGAAATCCAAACATTGCAATGGTTCAGCTTTTTTTATTGTTCTGACTTTCGAAGAAAACGGAATATTTATGCTCGGTGTGGTTTTTTTGTTCAATCAACTTTCGCCAATCAAAATAATGGTTTTCGAAAAAAAAATTAAACCCCATTGACGATATCGACTTCCTGAGTTCAAATTTAAAAAGATATTTTACTCTGCGTTTTTTTTTAATTCTGGGGGGTATGAAAATAGCCAAGCTGGCCATTCTGGACTAAGTTATGTGCGCTTGAAAGAGTTTATTTATAATGCTGAGAGCGTAACGCAAATTATTTATGCGTGGCGAATTATCCCACACAACAAAATTGTTCCAAATTGAATTGAGGCTAGGTAATTGGTCGTAGTAATTTCGTACAGCTCAAAATTTTACACTTTGATATTGTCCAAAATTGATAGCTTGTCAGTTTTTTCTTTTCCCAAAAACCATTTGATATGAATTAAGGGACAGTCGGAACATTCAGGGCTTTGCCCTGGTATACGAGTAGTCTTGTTAGGACTCATGAACGTAGTGAATAATACTCTTATATAGGTCTTAGTGATTTTTTTTTGTTTTTTTTTCAGGAAAAAATCTTAAAAGTTTTTAGGTTCAAACTTACTGTTTCGCCTTTCGACTTTTTTTGTCCCGCCTTTCGAACAAAACGGAGCATTTAGGAAACAAAACAAAATTCAGTTCCTTTCCACTGTTCTGTTCAAAGGAAGGCAAACTCCACAATCGACCAGCAAAAGTGTAAAAGTTGCAAAAAAGTGATCAATTTTTAGTTTGAAAAGTGGATTTAAATCTTTTTAATTTTTTTCTCCTAGAAGCTGGTATGATACTGGCCTCAAAGATTAAATGGCTTAAAATTTCTTTAACTTTTTCCATTCTAGCGAATGCTCCGGACACTACAACACTAGAAGTTCTGCACACGACAACGCCGGTATTCGTTGCAACAACAAATGACACGACAACGTCGCCCGAGCCAACAACATCCACCCCCGAAGTAACGACGCCAGAACCAACGACGTCGACCCCCGAAGCTACGACATCAACCCAAGAACAAACAACCAACCCGCAACCAACAGCGAGCACTGAAGTAACAACAACAGAGCCAGAAAACTGTACGGCAATCGTATTGCCGATAAAACCGACGACAGAAAATCTAGAATGTCCCGTCGTGGGAGGCGTTGAAGTAAAACACGAAATTCCACTGTGGGTTTGGGTGCTTCTATGTGTACTAGGCCTGATTATCCTCCTTTTGATCATTATTATAATAATTATCACAGCAATGGCAAAACGTGGTGGAAACAGCTCGTTAGACGCAACATCCGAAACATCCGCTGGCAGTGTTATGCCTCTCATTGTTGGCTCTCAAGTTGCAAACCAGGAAAAAATGTTGCCAATAATAATGGGAACTCCAGAGCCGGTGGCGTCTAGAACGCCAAATCGAGCTCCACCACAGTTGAATGCAAATGTTTTGAGCCACCTAAAAGCTCCTGCTTTCATACCACCTGTACCTCGTAAGAATAGCTCAAATAATTTCAATATTTCTATCGGCTGTATAGAATAGCTCAAATAATTTCAATATTTCTATCAGCTATCGTTTTAGGTTCTAAATCACCATCTGGGTCGAATCCTCCATCTGCTCCTCCTGCACCCTCTTCAGTGACTACTCATGGATACTACAGTAACCCACAAGGTACAGATACATCAGAATCTTCCGACAATCAGGATCAGAGTGATACTTCAGAGGACGAAACGAGCCAAAATACTCCAGAAAATTTGAATCTTGAAACGGTGGAAGAGAATGTAGAACCAATATTATCACCGACTGCAGTGGGAGTCAATAATGTTAAAACTCCTGAGAAGCTGTCTGAGAGCTCATCTGAAGAGGAATCGGATGCAAGTGTGCCGTCAGGAATTCCAAGTCCAGGGGAGTTTCGGAGTCGAGTTATGGGAACTATGGGTCTCATTCATGGCCAAAATGGACAGAAACTAATGTCGTCGGCATATGTGCCGACTAATCAAACTTCAACTGCCAGCGCCAATTTCGGAGGAGGCAACTTCAAACCGCCTCTAGGAAGGCTGCCTGAAGACATGATTGAAGGTGATTCGACTTCGGATCAGCCCTCCCGAGCACCAAGGCCGAGTGCGTTTCAAAAACTTCAGATAGGAAGTGGAGGAGTGATCCAAGTTCAAAGAGTTGCAAACGAAAATGTAGCGTCTCATTCCGGAAACCACTTAAACTTTACGGCGGAAGAACCGAAAGATAACGCGCCGAAAAAAAAGAAAGGCGGTAAAGCAAAGTCATCAAGTGGCCAGAAGAAGCAAGCGAAGAAGACTCGTCCTATTTCCTATTCGTCGAGAAAAAAATAAAGAAAAAAGCTGGAGTTATGCAGACAGCATCTTGGCGTAAAATATAAGATATTGCGTTGAAATGCTCAAACCTTGCATTTTTTTAAATTTCAGATTTAACAAAAATTATAATTGATAAATTTTAAAAATCATTACAAAATTGTAAAAGTTTGAAAATGTTGAAAAATATATAGAGTAGTGTAGAACGATTTTGGCTTATTTTGAAAATTTCTGTAAATATTTGTACATAAAAAAGAAATAATTTTGGTCGCTTTCGAAGTTTTCCGGCAAGTTTTCCGCCATATTTGATCAGATCTGCGTGCCCCATCATGACCTCGTCGTGGACTGCGAAATTCTAGGAGTTGCGCAAAAAATTAAGAGGTGTTTCTACTTTCAAGGCTGAGTAAAATGATCAATTTTATGAAGTTCGTTTTAGTCAAAGGTGACTAGTCAGAGCCTGATTGATGGATCCGGATGCCTGTTACAATGCGGATGCCTGTTACAATGCCTTGGGTCTTTCGGCCCTCTTTGAAAAACTTTCAGGAGTCGGGTTTCTATCCGTTGCATTTTGTCGAAAACTTTTAAAGTTTCTTAAGCTCGGTGTATTCTCATAAAACTCGCACAACAGCTGTACATAGAGCAAACTGAAATTTATTCATGAATATTTTTCAATTGTAATTTTCATCCATTTTGAAACGACTTCGAATGAAGTATGAATAAATAATTTGATTGGCTTAATTTTTTTTATTCAGACCATTTTCTGCGTTCGAAATGGTTGTTTAAAAATATAGTTTTTCTACCCTGTGGTACGGCAACTGCAACTACACTTGCAGTAACAGTACTGCAGCCTTGGTACAATTTGCATATTGTTATCTATAATCATGATATTGTTATTAATTTATTCAAAGTCAAACGTGTGTGACCTTTTTTCTTAATAAAAAGAGACTCAGTTCTCTGTATTAAAGAATCAGAATACAGTTTGCCACACGAGTCATGCACTATATAGAAAAGATGGTTTCTATAAAAAATTAAACTCTTTGGAACCTAAATCGTTTTCACTACTAAAATTACGTGGCTCTATCCGGTATCACATGGCTCAGCCAGCAGGATTTCTGTCTCAAAACAACAGGACAGACATGGGATTTCCTGTCTTTTGGATTTCATCAAACTCGGACCCACCATGAAAATTCGAAATCTGGTTTGATCAATTAGCAGTTACTGTCAAAGAAAACGTGGATCCAGAAGTATTACTAGAGGAACCAAGAGCAGTTATGGAAGAACCACTCCCACGTCCGGAAACGCCGGGAACTAATGAAGATGCGCAGGCAGTAACAGAGAGAGAAGCCCGCGATAAACTAGCACGAGATAAAGTCATCCTAGAAAACGAAGAACGTGTTGCTCGAGGACCAAAAGTAGGACACAACGTGTTCTACCACGAAGTCGGAAAAAGGTTAACATCTAGACTCTTTCTAGCTCTGGGCACAGAAGGAAAAAAAATTTGTACAAAAAACCCACACACAGAAATATCTAAACCCGAGTTCCGAGAAATGGTGAGACTGGCAAAAACTTCCTTCGAAAAAACAAGAAGCATCACCTACGAACGATACAAATTGTTTACACGATCGCATGAAGCGAATGAAACTCTAGAATATTTTCACGCGGCGCTGACTGCACAAGCAGCGAAAGCGGAATTGGGAGTATTGGAGGCAGAATTAGCTAGGGATTTATTCATATCCCGAATTAGGAATGTTGTACTTCAAGACACTCTAACGTTCGAAACCTTCACACCAGAAATTAGTACTAAAGCGAGCAATCAAATTCGAACAGAGTAAACAAACTACGCAAGCATTTCAAAAATCCAGTCAGGCACTATAAAGAAAAGATGGTTTCTATATTTAATTAAACTCATTGAAACCTAAATCGTTTTCACTAAAATTACGTGGTTCTATCCGGTATCACATACTTCAATGAATATATCGACTCTTTTGACATAAGTGTATAAAGCTATTTCATCTGCAGTCCTTTCTGAGCAAAATTGTGGGGGTTCAGAAAATCTGTATGGGCTAATTTATCCGGACTTTGAAATTTTTTATATATGTTGCTGAAAACATGACAAAAAAAATACGTATGACGAAATTTACGGTTCCTCAAAGTTTTTGTTATAAAAACTATTTTAGACTTTTAGACCAATTGTAAGTCATTCGGAACATTCGGGGTTTGGCACTCATATAAAAGCAGTGTTAGCGAATAATTGAAAAAACTGAACTTCGAAAAAAAATTACAAACAGCATGTCAAGCAAATAAGAAAACAAATTTCGACCGTTAAGCCAAACATATTCAAGGTGCTTATTTTTCAAATGATTTTTTTCTTTATAATAAATCCGATTAGAGACAACAGGGTTAATAAATATCTTTTTACTTCGCTAGAACTCTAAATAATCATTAAAAAAACATTTTCAAAACTTAAATCATTGACGTTTTCTCAGCATCAGTTGCTTTTTAAGAAGCCGATGAACGTAGTTCAGACTTTGTTATAGATCGTGATGATTTTCCAAAAAAATTTGCAGAAATTTTTTAAAACTATACAAAAAGATTCATACGTTTTATTGCTTTTATGAATAATCGTGCGTATACAAACAATTTGCTCTCTAATAGCGGAAGAGGAAATGACGCAAACTTGATCAGTTTCTAGTTATGAAAAGTGAATACAATTTAAAGATTTCTCAGCGTAAAAAAAGTTGTACCTAACACTGTGAATTGAGAGAAATTTAAGGCCATATAATTTTTCTTTGAAAATCAAAAATAGAAGTTTTTTTAAAGACAAAACAGTTTTTTTTTTTTTTCATTCATTGACTCTTCTCCAAATGTCTGTTGACCATATTTAATATTGGAGAGCGTCATTTGCTTTCCTTGATGCTCATAAACATGAATTGAATTTTAATTTTTTTTTCGGAAGAAACAACAAAATTAAATCAGTGTCTTAATTTCGTTCAGTCGAACCCAATCAATGGGCATTTATGTTCTGCTGGGTACTGAAATCCTCCTCCTATAGCACACAATGACACACTATTGCACAGCCGCCTATACGACACAAGCATACTACTTTTGTAACATAATTTTTGATTTTGCAATAAAATCCAGCGTCGTTGTTTTTCCATTTCAAAAAAGAACTTGAAAAACGAGCTTTACCGGAAAATCCAGATTCAAGAACCGAAATTTTAATACGTACGGCTTCGACAACTCAATGCAATATTGATGTACAAAACTCGATAAGCATCGATTGGAACTGTCTTTGAATGCGCAGAACTAACAGATGCTGTCTATCTCATCGAAACTGTTGCGTTACTAATTTACAAAAAAAAACAGTGTAGAAAATTTTTATAAAAGAACTGAATGCTTCCGCATAAGACTTGTTTGATTTCTTTTCTCAGATTTTTGTGAAATTTTTGCGATCCAAAGGAAAAATGATATCACCATTTTGTGAATAATAAGATTGACAGTTTTCTGAATCATGCTAAACTGATTTTAGAAAACTGAATCAATATCCGTCTTTTATTTAGCTGACACTTCTAACAATTAAAATTGACATCTGGAATTATGAATCAATATTTTGGGGTCGCTCTGAATTCTACTTTTTTCACTTTGATTAAAAATTGAGTTTGAAAAGTGGGCTTCAAAAGATCCTAAAAACCAAAAAAAAATCAAAATAGATCATGGTGATCAAAATTAAAATTTTTCACTAATAAAAAGAACAGAAAAATCACACAAGTTTTAGAGTGAAAAATAAAAAATATTGTTGAACAACGCTGATAAAATTGTGTGATATCGACCTCCTATTTTTAGCAAAAATTAAAACATTGTTAATTCCCATCATAAACTGAGCAAAGAATCAAAAAACACCAGTTGTAGTATTTTCAACTATTTCAAATTGTAAATTGTTCACTTTGTATTAAAACTGAATTTTCTTCAAATTGAGGTCAGACGCGTTTCTCTGCAAGCTATTTTTTGGGCGCGTAAAATCCAAAACCCCTCCGACTAACTAAGTAGAAGAAACGAAGCCGTGGCGACTCATTGCTTGTGAAACTGCTCTATTTACACATGAATTCAACTGAACTGTTGTTTTATCATCTGATATGAAATTTTTACAATTTTACAATTCAATTATTTTAAAATTCTGTCTATTCAATTTGCACAAGGGCAGGGAATGTTCTCATTCGGAGTCTCTCAACTTCTGCTCGCAACACAGCCACCTCTTGTGCCTGGTTCTTGGCCAGGTCCACCAGTTTGCGTCTCTGGACGATGTCTTTCATTCTGGACTGCTCGGAAGGACCCTGGCTTCCAGCACCTAACCATTTTCAACAATTGAAAACTCAACTCTTTAAACTCAACTAAAGCTTCCTGGAAAGTTATAATAACAGACGGGCACCTATATACTGAATAAGATTATTTATCACTTTGACAGTTGTTAGCTTTTCAGAAAACTTGGAATCCAAAATTTCAAAACAAAAGTCATAACCAGCGAAAATCATGTGCTATAAACGGATTTAAAGGATATAGTTAAGTAGCCTAATAGTTTACCTGTGGACATCTGAATGAGTTCTCTTTCAGCCACAGTCACAGTCATCTCCATGATCTGTTCGTCCAATTTGTCATTCTGCTTCTCCTTGTCCTTCACCTTCTTCTTCAATCTTTTCACCTGTAAACGAAACAAGGTCAAGTACATATTATCCAGCTTTTCTTGAACACTGCGCGGCACTGAATTGTGAACGTTTTCTACGCTAACGGAAATAATTTTTGATACTTGCAAAAATTATTTAGCCCATAAATTGCGAATATATATATACCTTCATTGTAGGTACATATTGTTGCAAAAATCAAAATATTTATTTGTTGGCCAACTTAAATCAGACTTAAATTTTTCACCGATTGAAAAAATGATGAATTTTTTTCCAGTTTATTTAAATTACTTGACTGTCTATTTAAATAGCTTTTAGTGTTCACTGATGGTGCCAGATGTGTGTAATTAATGTTACCTCGTCTTTCTTGATCTCCACTCGGCGACTGTGCTGGTCTAGAGTGGACGAGATGGTCTTCTCCAGCACCCCTATCTCCCTCGCCTTCTTATCACTCTTCTTGTCGTCGTCATCGTCGTCATTCAGATACTAAGTTGGAAGTGAAAAAAGACAGAGTTAGAGGTCGTTCACAAAAAAACCAAAAGTGTTCAAAAGGTTCATAGATGTTCACAAAGCTGCCAAACTATAATGGAACTAAATTAAAAGGGAAAAGATTCAGTTAGTTTTTGCGTTCGATAAAAACTTCATCGAATTAAAAGTTTTACCAATGTTCCAATATACAGTATTTGTTATTTACTGGAATTAAACTTGAGGTTTAACTGAAATGAATATAAAAACATTCAATTTTTGCAAAAAAAAACAACTTAATTTGAAATCAACATTGTAATCTGCCGGTTTTCACTACAGGATTGTTTAAACTCACATTGGTTGGGAAAAATTTTTTAACTTTTCAAATTAGTTTTCTTTCAGAATTTTTCAAATTAGTTTCCAAAACCGGGGGCAGGATGCTAACTTGGTTCTAAGTTGGAAATTTCAGCCAATCAGAATCAGACATTTTACATGCAGCTCTTATAACATTCACTTGTATGACACGTTTTTTCATGACTCACAAATTGTAGTTCTTTGGTGACCTTGAGCCTCTGGATATCCTTCGCTTTCTGCAGCAGATCTTCAATCTCCATAATCATCTTCTTCCTCTCCCACTCCAACTGGTAAATGCCCTTTCTGAACTCCTTACTCTCATTCATACTCTCTATCTTCTGGTCTCCCAGTGCTGTTATTTTGCTGTTCAGCTGTTCAACTACCCCTCTGTGTACTAGGAGTGAGTCCTTGAACTCAGTTATGAAGTCGTCTTTGGCTGCCACTTCCACTTGACCTTGACGCATGAGCAGTTGCAGTTCGAGGTTCATCATGCGCTGGTGTTTTTCTTCACGCACTCTGAAAAGAAACGTTTCAATACACTCAACCCTTTTGATGCTAAAGATATAACAACTGTAAGGCTTGATCATGCCTAGTCGTAATCTATGAGGGATATATGGTTGCAGGACAAGTAGGGGTCTTATCCGACCCAAAATTACCTAGCTGTTACAGAAGCTTCTGTTTTTAATAAAAATCGTTATTTTTAATAACGCAGTTTCAATCAATCAAATTCGAATATTTATGACCCATATTTCAAAATTACTAAGATATCAGTTTTGGACCGTATAACAGAAAAGATGACCCACAAAGTAGTACTGAATGCAATTCACAGCAAGTTGGTTTTGAAAATCAAACAACATCTGCGGTCTTTATTCACCCTCTATATTTTGTCGTAAATGCATAGTACCGTTTTTTTTAATAATGCTAAAGTTCTGTTTTAAATCTATTAGTCGTAATCATCCCCAAAGAGATGCATGTAACAACAAATAATTCAAATAACACACCTCTGTAGGTTGGTCTGTAGTCTTTCTACCTTCTCCGAGACAGCTCTCTCGTCCTCTCCTCTCCTCTTCAGGAATGCATCTATTTCCGCCATCCTTTGGGCACGCATCTTTATCTAAATAACATAAAACTCAAAACTAAATTATCCTCCAAATAAGTTTTTCGAATATTTTTGCTATGCTATCACATTTGTTAATCTCCTTATCTTCAAACACGCCCCGACAGAAAATATACTGTCTGTCAATGCACGAAATCTGACAAACTTTAGTTATTTCTGAATCTCGACAACCAAATTTGATTTTGACTCCAAGTTTTGGAACAGGCTCAGCTGGTAAACTACAAGGAAAAAAAAATAAAAAAGGAAGAGGTTCTCAGATTCTGTTGCCTTTCTCATAGCACGATAATCAAGCATCGCGAATTCTGACATCCTAATTAAAAAAATGACGTTTCTTTTTAAAATTTGACTGACCTCCTGTTCGCTCTGAAGTTTCTTCCTCCTGTAGTCGCACAGTTTCTTCCACACTGCCAAGTCTATTCCCTCGGGAGCATAAGACTCTGCCTCCAGCTCCTCTGAAACAATATTAAAAATAAACAAGGATAGCTGGTTAATCTGCCTGTAGCACCGAATGCTCCGACCAACTTCAAAAAATTAGATATATATTTATTTCTGTTGTTTCAAATTAGTGTCATTTTATTCGTGGTGCGATTAGAGAAGTATACGAACGCGTGAAACGTTAATGGATTCGGAATAATCGACTACAGTTGTTTTTGACACTCGAATCGACACTAGATTTTTCTGAAACAGCTTTAATCAGATATATCACTCAACCATTATCTATAAATACAGAATCGAAGTAAAGCGCGCAACATAGATTAACCCAAACTTGAAATTTAACGCACAGAGGACTCGCATCATCTGCGATACACCGCAAGTGTAGCATTGCAAGCTACCAAATAAAAAATGAGACGGAAAAAAGAGTTGAACAAAAAATTGAAACTGGTAGGAAAAACTATAATTTCACGTTCAGGCATAGAGAGAAAGCCGAGCTTGGCACCACTTGTGATTCAAAATGAATGACGATGATTGAATTCAAATTTTTAAAAAAAACTTCAAAAAATCGATCAATTTTTGTCAAAAAAAAATCGCGAAAGCCCAAAATATCCACAATGAAATTACCTACACCGTTGTAACTTTACAAAGAGCTTTCCGAATACCATAATGAAGACGAACTTTCAAAAAATTCTTTTCTACGGGAACTAAGTCAGCAAAAATAAGCAGACATGAAGAGACAGGTCCCAACTGGAATCAATCTCTTGGGATTTGTTGTCTCAAGCATCTGTGATATTGCAACTTGGAAAACGAAAAAAAAATCAACCAATTGGGCTACGGGAATCAAGCCAACAAAAATAGGCAAACGGACAACAGTCCAAAAAAAGCACAAAAATCAAGTTTGCAAAATCAGGTCTGATTCATTTTACAGGTCTTGTCGTCCCAAGCAAGTGTGTTGCCTCTACGCCACATGCGCAGGGTGGTTGACTGAATTTGAACTTATAATCAGAAACTATGCATTCGAAAGAAAACTGAAAAAAAAAATCAAACAAAAAAATCGCCTACAATTTTTTCTTTTCAAAGTGAACGTTCTAGCGTGTATAAAAAGCGTGATAAAAAAGGTAAAAAAAAGCTTTTCATCATGTTAATTTCTTCGATTTGAATTTATAAACCAATTGAATAGAAAAATCTAAAAAAACACCCGTCAAATAGGCGGACAGAAATTGGACCGAAATCAATTCAAACTACAAATTTTTTTTCTAAGAATAGATCCAGTAACGCATTAATTCTAGGCACATAAAACTAGGCATCAACTCTAGGCACTGTTAAACGTGCAACGAGCTGAAAAAGGAGATCTTGAAATTGGAGATCAACCTGAGAACAAGACGGGAAGAAATCACTATAGATTGGTTGTTAATCCGAAGTTTCACAAAATGAATAGACCATGTTTTTAAGAAGACAAGTTGCTTTCCTAACTGAAACTATCGATGTCTTGGGATCAAAATGTCAAAACAGAGACAATAGCTCATCTGTGCTCCACACTTTGCGAAGTTTATGGATTCACGAATGACTAACTATGACTAAATTATGCGCGCTACTGGGCCTTGATTATATAACCAGTCCTTGATGGTGCTTGTAGAGGACGTAATTTGAGCAAAAAACACACATTTAAAAACTTCTAACTGATACCATTAAAAACATTTTTTCAACAACACTACATATAATCAGTAGACTTTTGGAAATTCGTAACCTCAAGGTGCCGACAAAATTACAGACTTCTCAAAAAAACTCTCACAGGACTTTTTCAGAAAAAAATTTATTATCTTGAACCCTTTTCAATTCCATAAATCGTGCATGATTGACACTTTGATAATTAAAGAAGCCAACTTTGAAAAACCTATTCACTTAGCCATTATCTCATACTGCTGGAAATTTAACGATTGAAAACCACTCATAAAGCTTGAAATTAAACAAGTTTTTTTCGCATCGTTTGCATTTTTGTGATAGGAGAATTTCTGTTGCTTTTCCTTTAGCAAATGAAATTAATTGGGACGCAAAAAATTTAAAAATCAAATCGCGAAAAAATCCAATTTAAACGCAAAAAAAAAAACAGATTTTTTGTGATGCGCGAAATGAACACGCGCTTTCCTTTTGTTCAATAACATTTATTTTAGGACTTCAAAATTTAGTCGGAGCATTTAGACAATCGCATTGATTTGTGCGAGGAGCTCAACGCTTATTTGTTAAAATTAGAGCGGTAACATACTGCTCTAATTGCTTAAAACAAATCCTTGATTATGTTTTTTTCCTTTATTTTATACATGATTTTCTGGAAATAGTTTTGACGTGAACTATACTGGGTGTTTGTTCTTTAGGTGTCAAAAAACAATTTTCTTCAATATGAGGACATCAAAATAATTTCTACAAAACTAATGAAAGATTTGGATTTAGAATGCTGCATGGTAAATCTTTAAAATGACACCATAAGAAACTCGCAGAAAAAAACTTGACAAAGATAAAGAATCATGATAAGCTCTTATTTTTTACTATGCTGATCATTAAGCTTTAGATCAGTTGCATATTGACTATCGCAAAAGCCAAAACTCTCATTTTATCGGACAAAAAAATACAAGTTAAGCGCAGAGGCGAAGCTGGGCTTCGTAAACAACCGAAGAAAATGCAAAAGAGCAGAACAAAGTGAAATAAAGAAAAGATTAAAAATGCACCTAAGAATTATTGACACTGAGAATATCACGTTATCCAACCTGCTTCACGACCGCTGGTAATTTTACTAACAACATACACCAATAAAAACAGCTACAGTTTTTATCAAATTGTCAAAAGTATGCAGCAAAAATTCGACCGAAAAAAAAACAAAACTTTTTGAATGTTCCGGATAAAAATATCCGACCTGTTGATTAGGAGTCTCACGTCCTCGTATCTGCGCCACGGTCGCTTGAAAGTAAATTAGTAACCAAGCTAATGCTGATTCTAGCTGTTAGTACATTTTTATACATATTGTACTGATAAGGAAATGCGAAATTTTCAAAATTTGAAAAAAATGGACTTTACGCTAAACCCTAGTACTTCTCTGCTCAAGTAGGGAATTAGCCGCTTAGTTAAGAAGAAAACCCCGCGCTCTTCCAACTGAAGTCTCTATCTTATATTTCACTGGGTAGTTTTCAAAAAAAATTCAAGAATCGATCAAAACTTTAACTTTTTTCTAAATCCATAAACTTTTTTCCATTAAAGCATGGGAATAGCCTCTGATTTCCACACCTTGATTTTAGATTGAAGATTTTCACGCCCTGATTGTTTAGATTTTACCCTCAATATCAGAATCAGCTAGCAGTTTTCGAGAACAGTGACAAAATTTGTTTTGAAAGGTTGAAAATTAAAAAGGAAGAGTCCACAACAGCTTTCCTACACAAAACATGATGACGCAGTGAAAATTTAAGCACCATGTTAGTTTTAATTAACTATCAACCTCAGAATCAGCAGGTTTGTGTTTGAAAAAAAAAAGAATAACTTTCCAAAAAACGGGCGAAGTTTCAAAAATTGGACATAGCTTACGCAGGTAAGATTCGAATAACTGATGTTTGCTTTCGGTTAAACCATTAACCTCCAATTTGGCAGAGTAGTTTCAAAGAAAAGTCAAAAAGTTCAAAATTAACCAAAATGTCAAAAAAACAGGCTTGTTTGAGGCCATATTTGTTTTCTACCAGTTTTAGCGAATAGCCGAATGGGAAATAGAGATCCCAATAATTTGTTCTTTTGATTGAAAGCTTCATCTCAAATTTGTGCATTTAATAATTGAGAAAAAGAAAAATTCAATACAAATAGGCCAGAAATCTCCCTACTGAAACTTTCGAAGACCTTAGAACGTGAGGTAAACCGAAAAAAGACAAGCGAAACATGCAGGCACAAAGAAAAGAAGCCAGTGTTTTCATTGGTAAGTTTTTTTTTGAAAGTCGGTAAAGTAGTGGCTGAGAAAAATTGAAATTTCTGCAAAAAGGCAAAAAAAAGCGCCGCAAAAACTAAAAATAACAAATCCTATGTATTTTCATAATACATGTTTTTTTTTCAAACAAGACCTAACACTAGCCAAAAATAAAGCAACAACATATGCCATTAAATGGTTTATGCTTAAATAAGCTTAACTATGATAAAATTGAAATATACCAAATGTGCCATTAGATGAGAACTTATATTTGCTACATAGGTTAGAAATTAAGAATTCTTCAAAAAAACGCAGGCAATAGCGATGCAGGCAACGAAATGGTGATTAACTATTACCATTTGACATCTTTTTAGTGATCGAAACAAAACCCACATCTATCCCTGGTCGCAATAATTTACCAATAGGCACTTAGTATAACTTTTCAATTTTGAAACCGATTCTAAAACGTATCAGCCAGCAATACTAGAAATATAAAGCGCACCAAAATAACAAAAATTCCCAACCAGCAGGAGTGAAAATTCAAGTTACCCAAGCCTCTACCAAGTAGACGAGTAAATATTTGCTCACAAAACAACAAATACGTCACATTTACTTTCGTGATTGCATCTTAGAGTACAAAAAGGCCACTTAGTTACAAGTTGGAGGGCAGATTGAAGCAGTCCGACATATCATGTGATTCGGGCGGTTTTGTACTCCCATTATGAGACCCAATTCTTGACACAGTTCTCGAAGCTGACAAATGAGAGATGTCAAGACCTGCATGCTCGTGTTCATATGGGGGACCAGAATACTGTTTAGTGAGTCTTTTGGTGTGACTGGTCAGTACTTTTAACTGTTGTAGCTTCCCGATACCCGAAGGCATCCCTAGAGACATTCGTTTCGACGGATCCTTGTACATGTCAGTTGTTCGATAAGGATAGATACCCATTAGAATGCTGTACCCGTCGTGAATCAAGAACGCAGGTTCAGGGTTTCGAGACGGGTCAACCAAGGGGTCGTGGAATTTTCTCAAGGTCAGTGGAGTTCGTTGATGTTTGTTGCAGAAGTAGCAGTAGAATT